TAATTCCTCTTTTCAGTGCTTTCTTTGGTAGAGGTAGAGGTTGGTGTAAAATGTATGTGCATAAATTTTTGAAATGTTTGTTCTATATCTTGAAATATGTCATTGGTACTTTAATAAGGATTGTGTTGAATCTATAAATTGCTTTGGGTAGTATGGACATTTTGATGATGTTGATTTTTCCAATTCATGAGCATGGTACACGCTTCCTATTGTTTGTGTCTTCCTTAATTTCTTTCTTCAGTGTTGTGTAGTTTTACACAGTGTTGTTGTGAGTGCAGGTCGTTTACCTCCTTGGTTAGGTTTATTCCTAGGTACTTTGTTTTTTTTTGTTGCTGTATCAAATGGGATTTTCCCCCTGATTTCTGTTTCTGATATTTCATTGTTGGTGTACAAAAATGCTTTTTATTTCTGAATATTGACTTTGTATTCTGCTTTTTTGCCAAATTCACTTATTAGGTTGAGTAGTTTTATGGTGGAGTTGATAGAATTTTCTGTGTACACTATCATGTCATGTGCAAACAATGACAGTTTTGCTTCCTTGTTTCCAATTTGGATGCCTTTTATTTCCTTTTTTTTGTCTAATTGCTGTGGCTATGAAGGACACATGGACAAAAACAAAATGGGCATGGAATCAGGGGAGTGAGGTGGGAATGGCTGGGGTGGGGGGTTTGGTGGGGGATAAATGCAGACAACTGTACTTGAACAACAATAAAATTATTTGAAAAAATGAAAAAAAAATTAAAAAGAGAGGAATAAAGTTTTGTGGCTTGTAAATGTCCTGGGTAAGTTGACTGGTGCTTGGGTTGACCCCGCCCCTGTTCAGCTCAGCTTATTATATACTGCTGGTGACTCTGGCACCTACAAGCCATGGGTTGATACTGACAATGTACACCCAGCAGGAGTAAATAATAAGCAAATTAACTACTTAGTCGAATACCTGACAAACCCTCAATACATATGAGCTATTACTATTAAGAAACCTGGTGTAAGGATTGATCTTGCCCTGGACAGTGTGGCTTAATTAGTTGGATCGTTGTGCCATAAACTTATCAAAACCAAAGGGTTGTGAGACCTATTCCCAGTCAGGACACATACCTAGGTTGAGGGTTCCATCCCTGGTTGGGGTGCATAGGAGAAGCAGCTTATCAATGTTTCTCTTTCCCTCTCTTCCTCTCTCTCTAAAATTTATAAGTGTGCCATTGGGTGAGGATTAAAAAACAAAGAGTATAGATCTTAAAAGTTTTCATTCCAAGGCGTGGAGAAAGTAATTTTGTATGGTGATGGATGCTTACTATGGTGAACATTTCATAGTATATACAAATACCTAATAATTATGTTGCGTACCTTAAATGAATATGATGTTATATGTCAATCATATCTAAATAACACACACAAAAAAAACAAAAAAAGTATGTGTAAATTTCCTTAGCTAATTAATTGGTGCAACATGGGCATTCAAGATTAATGACTAATGCCCTCCAGTTTATGTTTAGCTAGCTAGGCTGTTAGTAAGGTACACTAAAATATTTTAAAAGGCTTTCATTTTCAAGGACAAAATATACTAATTTTTGGTAAAACATTAAAGAAGAAATATTTTTTATATATGATGATTGTCCCAAAATTATACATTCTCAATAGGTCACTAACATGAGATTCCAGAATGATGAACAATTTTTAAATCTGTTTTATTTTTATTTTTAATATTTTATTGATTATGCTATATAGTTCTCCCATTTATTCCATCTATGATACCCTCCACCTGGTACCCCCCATTCCTTCTAGCAATACCTCCCTTAGCATGCCCATGGGTCATGCATACAAATTCTTTGAATACTCAATTTTTTTATACTGTTCTTAACATCCTCCTGTGTATTCTGTACCTCCAAATTTGTACTTGTTAATCCCTCTACCTTTTCTTCCATTCTCCTCCTTCCCTCTCTGAACTGATAACCCTCCAATTGAGCTCCATATCTATGATTCTGTTCCTGTTCAGCTTGTTTGCTTAGTTTTTTTTAGATTCAGTTGCCAATAGTTGTAAATTATTACCATTTTAATGTTCATAGTTTTGGTCTTCTTTTTCTTAAGTCCCTTTTACATTTCATGTGGTAATGGCTTGGTGATGATGAACTCTTTTAGCTTTACCTTGTCTGGGAAGTATTTTACCTCTCTTCAATTGTTAATGATAGCTTTGTTGGCTAGAGTGATTTAGGTTGTAGGTTTTTGCTTTTCTTCACTTTGAGTACTTTTTGCCAGTCCCTTCTTGCCTGCAAAGTTTTTTTTGAGAAATCAGCTGACAGTCTGAAAGGAACTACTGTGTAGGTAATTATCTGCTTTTCCCTTGCTTCTTTTAAGACTCTTTAGAGGTGCAAATTAAAGCCACAATGAGATACCACTTCACACCAGTCAGAATGGCCACCATAAACAAAGCAACAAACAACAAGTGTTTGAGAGGTTGTGGAGAAAAGGGGACCATAGTGCACTGTTGGTGGTATTGCAGACTGGTACAACCACTATGGAAAGCAGTATGGAATTTTCTCAGAAAACTAAAAATGGATCTGCCTTTTGACCCAGCAATTCCACTGCTGGGATTATATCCTAAGAACCCTGAAACACCAATCCAAAAGAACCTATGCACCCCAAAGTTCATAGCAGCACAATTTACAATAGCCAAGTGCTGGAAGCAACCTAGATGCCCATCAGTAAATGAATGGATCAAAAAACTAGGGCACATTTACACAATGGAATTCTCTGAAGCAGAAAGAAAGAAGGAGCTCCTATCCTTTGCAACAGCATGGATGGAACTGGAAAACATTGTGCTAAGTGAAATAAGCCAGGCAGTGAAAGACAAATACCATATGATCTCACCTTTAACAGGAACCTAATCAACAAAACAAAGAAACAAGCAAAATATAGTCAAAGACACTGAAATTGAGAACAGGCTGACAGTGACCAAAGGGGAGAGGAGAGGGAATTTCAGGGGAAAAGGGGAAGGGTTTGCAGGAACAAGTATAAAGGACACATGGACAATAACAAGGGGGCATGGAAATGGGAGGGAGGAGGGAAGGGCTGGGGGGTTGGCTGGGATGGGGGTCAAAGGCAGAAAACTGTACTTGAACAACAATTAAAATGATAAAAAAAGATTCTCTCTTTATCTTTAACCTTTGGCATTTTTATTATCATGTGTCTTGGTGTGGTCCTCTTTGTGTCCATCTTGTTGGTGACTCTCTGTGCTTTCTTTTTTTCCTTTCTTTTTTATTTTTTAATTGTTATTTTAATTGTTCAAGTACAGTTTTCTGTCTTTTACTCCCATCCCAGCCCATCCCCCTAGCCCTCTCCACCTCCCTCCAATTTCCACTCCCCCCTAGTTTTTGTCCATGTGTCTTTTATACTTGTTCCTGTAAACCCTTCCCCTTTTCTTTTGAAATTCCCTCTCTGTGCTTTCTGTACTGGTATGTCTATTTCCTTCTGCAAATTAGAGTTGTCTTTCTTTTCTTTTTAAAATAAGTTTTCAATTTTTGCTCTATGTTTTCTCCCCCTGGCAGTTCTATGATTCAAATGTTGGTGCATTTGAAATTGTCTCAGAGGCTCCTTAACCCATCCTCATTTTTTTGAATTCTTGTTTCTTCTTGCTGTACTGATTGAATGTTTTTGCCTTCCTTATGTTACCAATCATTGATTTGATTCTTGGCTTCATTCCCTCCATTGTTGATTCCCTGAATATTTTTATTTATTATATTAAGTGTAACCTTCACTTCTGCCTGGGTCTTCCTTACATTGTTGAAGTACCCAATGAGTTCCTTGAGAATTCTAGTAACCAATGTTTTGAACTCCACATTGGATAGCTTGCTTATCTCCATTTGGTTAGTTGTTTCTCTGTAGTTTTGTTCTGTTCTTACTTATGTATTTCTTTGGGGCCATATTTCTTTGTCTCCTCATTTTGGCAGCCTCCCCATGTTTGTTTCGATGTATTTGGTAGAGTTGTTGTAACTCCCTGTCATGGTACTGTGGCCTATTGTAGAAAAGTGCATCTGTAAGTTGGATGGGATGGAGGAAGCCTTAGGTAATCGTCAGTGCAGGGCATCTTGTGTGAACCAGGTTGATGGAGTCTTGGATATGGTGTCTGTCCTCTGTGGCTATGTGTGAAGGAGGGCTCAGTAAAGGGACAATGGCCATTGTCTGACCTCTGGGTTTTTTTCCAGGAGGAAGCTATCCCCTGGCATTGACCTGATGCCAGACACTTCAGTTTTCCCCCATGTCCTACTGGTTTTCTTCCTGGCGTTCTACTCCAGTGCTGGAGCCAAAAGGGAGTGAATCTCCATAAGTCCTAAATGTGTTTTGGGTCCTTTAAAATGTGATGCCTGAGAACCCCTCAGTGTTGTCTGCCACCCTAACCCCCACTGGTTATACAGGTAGAAGTTATGGGACGTATCTTACTGGTATTGAACCCTTGAGCAGGGTGGTCTGGTGTGGGGCTGGTATCTCTCACTCCTGAGGTATCCCTCCTGATTGTTATCTACCACACATAGGTGTGGGACCATCCAACCCATGTGTCCTCGTCTATGCCCCTCCTTCCTGTCTGGATTAATGTGACTTCTTTAACTCCTTGGTTGTCAGACTTTCATACAGCTTTATTTTCTGATGTTTCTGGGTAAAAGTTGTTTTGTATTTTAGCTGTGATTTTTGCTATAGTTGTGCAAGAAGGCAAACCATGTTGATTTACACCACCATCTTGACTGGAATTTGAGCAAGTTTTTGATAAAAACATTTACTTCGCTGGTTCTCAATCAACAACTTTTTTTTAATGACAGTATCTGACTCTATCCCAAATCTGTTAACCCAGAACTTCCAGGATGGCGCTTTTGAGAAATAAAGGTCAAAATAAATAGATCTAGCTAATTATTCATCCTTGGAGTCAAAGAGGCACATGCTCAGTAGCAGGGAGTGTTATAAATATTTGGATTTTAAGCTCCCATTTGACACAGTAAGAAGAGACAGCTGCAATGGGCCCAGTCATGGGCCTGGTGCTCTGTCTCTCCTGTTTGCTTCTCCTTTCATTGTGGAAACAGAGCTCTGGAAAAGGGAAACTTCCACCGGGCCCCACACCTCTGCCAATTATTGGAAATATGCTACAGTTGGATGCAAAGAACATTAGTCAATCCTTAAGGCATGTGATTATGTTTTACTTCCTCCAGCAGTTTGCAAAAGGTAAGTAAATTAACATCTATTTCTAAATAAAATTTATTTCTTAAAATACATTTAAATAAACCATAATATGTTAAAAACTATTATATATGTCATTGTAAATACCATGATTATTATTTTTGGTTTCTCATCAACAAGAGTGGTGAAATAAAATAATGCATTAGTGAGTGAAGTACACTAGGTCTCTCTATGCCAGACTCAAAATAATAAAGTAGCAAAAGAAAGGAAATCTATTGCCCTTTCTTGTTTCCCCATCATTTGCTAAGTTTTTTTAGCTGGAGGTAAATGGTAAGGAAAGTGTTTTTGATTAGAGATTTCATTCAAGAAGTCATCTGAAAAAATACTTGACTTTGAGTGCTGGGCACACAATGCAATATACAGATGATGTATCATAGAGTTGTATATTTGAATCCTGTATAATTTTATTAACCAATTGTCTTGCAAGCACTTGAGGCGGGGCGGGTTCACAAGGGATTCGGGCAGACAGAAGAAAATTCGTGGAGCCATTGGGATATCTGACATGCCTTTATTCTGAGATGGGGAGATCCACGCAAGCCACAAGTCATGTGTCATGCCGGGGACACTCCTGACTCCCTTATATACTAAATGCACACAAAGCTGGCAGAGTGCCAAGATATTATATGAGTTTGATTCTGAGCATGCAAATCCATACTCAAGGTTATATGACAATATGAACATTGCTAAGTCATAGTTGCCCTGACATCTGAGTGAGGGAGCCTGGCTGACTTCATTTTCCCTACACTAATATTACCCTAACACATTTAAGTTAAAAAGAAGTGATCTCTGTAAATGATGTGTTTTGTTCAGAATAGCCATAAAAAGTGCACTTCTCTGAGTAAGCAAATTGTGCCCGATGTCAAGGAAAAACTCTGGAATTAGGAACAGTATGAGTGAATGAAAGAAACGTTATTGGGATCAGTTTCCTGGGAACAGGACTCTTTGGCCACAGCCAGCACAAAATTGTCCATCCATGAGATGCCATTGGTGCCAGCGCTGCCTCTGTGGTGCTGGCACCACACAACATTCCTTTGTGTTAGTAATGCCAGTGGATCACAAACCAGGCTGGGCATCAGAATCATCCAGGATATTTTCTGAAAGCATAAATTTCTCATATTCATCACAGGGCTATGGAATCAGAATTCTGATGACATGGGCTCTACCACTGATCCTGATGTAGTCAGCTGAGTATTGGTCCTATGATGATCGTTGCAGATTGATAAATTGCTCATGGATCAGAGGCTGAATAGGAAGAGGTTCAAATTTCGGTCTTCTACATAGTAGCTAGGAGATGCTGACAATGAATTAGAATTCTATGACATCAGTTTCCATTTTTGTAGCAGCAGCATATGAACCTGCTGATGATCCTGCTTTGAGGTTTAATTGTAACATTTGTACAAATTACCCAGGCCATTTGTGGGCATGTAAGTGGCTGCTATTCACAATCACCCTCATATGTATGTATTAATTTAAAAAATATGTTAGGCTGTGTCCCAGAAGAAAAACATAAAATCAGGATAATATCATTTTGAATCAGGCATAATATATTGTCAAATGGGGACTCCTTTTGCTAATATGTGCATCTCCTTTCCATTTGCCAGCTCTCCAAAGTCTACAGCCAGGTGTTCACTGTGTACTTTGGCAGGAGGCCCACTGTGGTGCTGCATGGATATGAGGCAGTGAAGGATGCCCTGATTGATCGGGAGGAGGAGTTCTCTGGCAGAGGAAGTGTCCCAGTGGTTGAAAAAGCTAATAAAGGACAAGGTAGGTGCCTGTGTGCCCATATATGTTCAGTAATATAATGAGGGTGGAGAGGATAGACAACAGGAATTTGAATATCTCTTCAGCAGACCTTGGCCCACACATGTGGCTGCCAGGTGTCAGATTCCTCCTCTTTACTAGCACCTGCATGTCAGTTTCTGTTTCCCCTCCTGGTAAGAGTCGTTTTCAGCACTGGAAATGGATGGAAAGAGATGCGGCGCTTCTCCCTCATAACCCCGCAGAATTTGGGGATGGTCAAGAGGAGTATTGAGGACCATGTTCAAGAGGAAGCCAGGAAAACCAATGGTGGGTGATTATATACAGTATAACTCTGATCTTAACAGACTGTTGTGTTCCTTAGTGACGTCCTTGGAAACATTTCAGGGGCAGTCAAATCTTTTCTAAGGATGGTGGTGTCAGCCCCCATGTGAAGGAGGGTTGTGTGTTTATGCTCCTTTCGTGTATACCTGCGATTGTGCAAACATTGTGGGTAGAAAGGGTCATTTAATCCAGTTTTCTCTTGAACATGGTTTGATTGTTTTGGAATCAGAAATCACATGGAATAATTTTGAGACCTTTATTGAAAAAGTTAGAGAACATTGTCTTTCCTATAGCATAAACATGGGTTATTTATTCTAGGGCCTTTCACCAGATGGTACTTGTCAGGTGGAAAGGTGAGAATGCCTCACCACATCATCATGGAGCATGTAACAAGTGATGTGTGCTTTCATTAAATTTGCCTGTGTTTGTGTGCTCAGCTCTACACAAACACAGGCAAATTCTCAGACATCTCTGAGAATTGCTTTCAGAGTCCAGGCCTTTAGTTCTGGATGATAATGATGCCATCTATGGTTTTCATTGCTTAGGCATGTCTTCATGAAATTATCATCAATTGTGATTTCTCTGTAAAGACAGCACAGTTTTCCCTGGCCAGGTGGCTCAGTGGATTGAGTGCCGTCCTGTGAACTGAAGGGTCTCCAGATCCATTTTCAGTCATGGCACAAGCCTGGGTTAGAGCCCAAGTCCGTAGGGGGCATGTGAGAGGCAACCACACATTGATTTTTTCCTCCATTTCTTCCTCCATTCCCTGTATTAAAATAAATAAAGAAAATGTCTTTTAAAGGCAGCAGTATTTTCAATACATGAACATTAATTATTTTTTGTTACCCACTATTTACTGTATTGATTTATGTATATTGAATACATGCTACATTATAATTCCTTAAAATACACAAATATGAAGTTATATGATGTTTTATTTAACTAAATTTCCACCATTATGAACAACTCCTTACCCTGCCTTCTGTAAGTGGAGTATGGCTCTGTTTTCAGTTTGCTAAACTTTGCCCCAACTTTACTGGATTTTGGTAACAAGTAATGGCAATTATTTGCCTTCCATGACCAGTTGTAATACCTATAAACTGCTTGTCAAAATGACTTTGATTTATAGCTTGGATTACAAATTACCTTGTTTTTAAATACTTTTTTCCACATTAAGTGAAAGGAAAAACTGAAAATCATGTTTCACCTGTGAATTGCATACAGACAAAGAAATCCCCAAGGATTTTCAAATTATCCTCTACCGATCAGGCTACAATAAAAGTTGCTTTAAAGCTCACAGCCCTGTAATGTTCCATGGAGCCTGGTCTAGAAGACACTAACTATACGTTTCCTTTTATTCCATGCCCTTCCATCTCCTCCCCATGCTTTAAATAACATTTATAGTAAAAACCACATACAGAAGAACACATTCAAAATGAATAAAAGACTTAAATGTCAAGTGTGAAACCATAAAAATCCTAGAAGAAAACATAGTAGTAAAACTTCAGACACTCTTGTAACAATATTTTTGCCAATATGAGTCCTAGGGCAAGGGAAACAAAGGAAAAAACAAAGACGTAGGACTACAATAAACTAAAAAGGTTTTGCACAGTTAAAGAAATGACGGACATAGCCCTGGCTGGCGTAGCTCAGTGGATTGAGCGTGGGCTGGGAACCAAAGTGTCCCAGGTTCGATTCTCAGCCAGGGTACATGCCTGGGTTGCAGGCCATGGCCCCCAGCGACCGCACATTGATGTTTCTCTCTCTCTCTCTCCCTCTCTCTCTCTCTCTCTCTCTCTCTCTCTCACTTCCTCCCTTCCCTCTCTAAAAATAAATAAATAAAATCTTTTAAAAAAAAAAGATATGACAGACAAAATGAAAAGGACCTCACTATATGGGAGAATATACTTGCTAATGATACATCTGATAAAGGGTTAATTTCCAAAATATTATACAACTCAACACCAGGAAGACCAAAAAACTATTAAATGGGCAAAGGACCTGAATAGACTCTTTTCCAAAGAGGACATGCAGATGGCCAGTAGACATATGAAAAGATGCTCAACACCACCATCATCAAAGAGATTCAAATTAAAACCACAATGAGATATCACCTCATACTTGTCAGAATGGCTATCACCAGTAAATTAAAAACGACAATTTCTGGTGTGACTGTGAAGCAAAGGGAACCTTATGCACTGTTGGTAGGAATGCAGACTGGTGCAGCCGCTGTGGAATACAGTATGGAGTTTCCTCCAAAAATTAAAAATGGACCTGCTGTTGGCCCAGGAATCCAGCTTCTAAGAATATATTCTAAGAATTCCAAAACACTAATTTGAAAGAACATATATACCCCTATGTTCATTACATTGTTACAATAGCCAAATCTGGAAACAACCCAAGTACCCATCAGTAGATGAATGGATAAAAGCATGGTACAGTTACACAATGGAATACTATGGAGCCATAGAAAAGAATGATATCTTCCATTTTTAAAAAATATTTTATTTATTTATTTTTAGAGAGGGAAGGAAGGGAGAAAGAGAGAGAGAGAGAAACATCAATGTGCGGCTGCTGGGGGCTGTGGCCTGCAACCCAGGCATGTGCCCTGACTGGGAATCGAACCTATGATGCTTTGGTTCGCATCCAGTGCTCAATCCACTGAGCTATGCCAGCCAGGGCTAAATCTTCCATTTTGTGACATCATGGATGGACCTGGAGATTATTATGCTAAATGAAATAAGCCAGTCAGAAAAAGACAAATATCATATGATGTCACATATATGTGGAATTTAATGAAGAAAATAAACTGACAAGCAAAACAGAAACAGAGGCATGGATAGATGGAACAGACTGACAGCTATCAACTAGGAGGGCATGGGGGCACCAGATCAAAGAAGGTGAAGGGATTAGCCAAAGAACACATATGCATGATACATATACACAGACAACAGTGGGGTGATGGCCACAGGAAAGGGGAAGTGTGGGCTGGGAGAAATGGGAAAGGGGGGGATGGGGACATTTGGAACAGTGTCAACAATAAAAATAAAGTACAAAAACATATAACATGAGATCTACTCTCAACAAATTATTAAGTGTACATCACAGTGTCGTTTACTATAACAGCAGGTTTCTAGCACTTTTCATCTTATATAACTAAAACTCTGTGCACATTGAACTGTGACTGTTTTCCCCTCCCCCAGGCCCTGGCAGCCAATATTCTACTTTCTGCTTCTATGAATTTGACTACTTTTGATACTTCATGCATTATGTGTCCATTTATGATCAGCTTAGTTCACTTGAAATAATGTCCTCAAGGTTAATCCATGTTTGTGGTGGATCCTGGCTGGCAGGATCTGGGTATGTTGTGGCTGCTAGAGAACAAATACACATGGACAACAAGAAGTCCTGTGGAGAAAAAGGGGCAGCATGGCCACTCTCAGAGAGAGAGGGCCAGAGAGCTCAGTCCCTGCCTGTACAAGCTTTTATTGCTTCTCTGGGTACATTACATGGAGTGTAGCCCTCATTTATTATGCACAGGTTCACTGCAAAGGATTACCTTTTACAGATAACAAAGGAAAGAATGTTGCTAATTACTCCAAAGGGAAGGATGTTGCAGATTAGGGGGGAAAGTGGTTGAACCGGACATACGTATTGTAGTATATGACAAGATTTCTGTCTTTTTAAATGTTTGAATAATGTTCTAGTGTATGTATTTATCAATTTTCTTTATCCATTTATCATTGATGGACATCTACATTTTTTCCCACCTCTTGGCTGTGTGAATAATGCTACAATGAATGCAAATATATCTTAGAGACCCTGTTTCAGTTTTATTGAGCAAATACTCGGAAATGGGATTGCTGGGTCTTAATGGTAATTTCATTTCTGATTTTGGAGGGGGCACCTCCATACTGTTTACTGGAGTAGCTGCCCTATTTTACATTTAACTAACTGTGTACAAGGGTTCAATTCTTCCCACCCTCACCAATACTTGTTTTGTTTCTTTTTTCTTTCTTTCTTCCCTGTCTCCCTCACTCTTATCTATTCAACTCTCCCTTCCTTTCTATTTTCCTTCCTTCCTTCCTTCCTTCCTTCCTTCCTTCCTTCCTTCCTTCCTTCCTTCCTTCCTTCCTTCCTTCCTTCCTTCCTTCCTTCCCTTTTAGTAATGGATATCCTAACAGATTTTAGGATGATTTTGATTTGTGTTTTCTAATGATAGTAACATTGAGCATCATTTCATATACTTGCTGACCATTAATATATCTTCATTTTTAAATAAGCACAAGTTAAAGGTATTATTTAACTCATTGTTTGGAAATCCGTTATAAACAGTTGTAACAAGGTATTATAACCAGTTGTAACAAGGGTGTAACAAAGTGTTACAGCCAGTTTAAAAGAGAATGGTCAAAAGGTACAAACCAATTTAGAGCAAAGGAATGTTGATGTGAATGCAAATGAAGGCAAAACTAGGTAGGAAAGTCAATGGAATCTCTGATGGACAAAATACAGTTTGCATGTCTAGAGACAAGTATTATTTTGCATTGCTATAAGTTATCGATAATTTACAGACTGGCAAAATAGCTCCCATAGGATCACAGTCAGATAAAACAGAAGGTTGAGCTATATGGAATGCATATATCCAGGTTAAGAAAAAACCTGAAAGGATGTGGTCTACACTCAATATTCCCCCTAGCTTTATGGAGATATAGTTGATATGTAACACTGTGTAAGTGTAATGTATACAATGTGTTGATTTGATATACTTATATATTACAATATGATTATCACCATAATGTTGTCTAACACCTCCATTAGGTCACATAATTACCATTTCCTGGGAAAACATTTAAGATCTACTCTCTTAGGAGCTTTCAACTATATACTGCAGTTCATCATCTATAATAACAATGTTGTGCCTTAGATACCCAGAAATTATTCACCATCTAACTGGAAGTTTGTACTCTTTGGCCAACATCTCCCCATTTCCCTA